TCTGCCCAAGTAAGTTTTGCTGCACCGACAGCCTTTTGTTTTGTTATTAAAAAAAAATAAATTATTTTTATTTTTAAACTCCTGCCTCGCTCGCCTCTCTGCAATTGGGTTCCAACACTGAGGATCGTGACAGACTCTCCCTTTAATCATCACAGTTCACCACCTAGATGATTAAACAGATAATGACACTCTGGTTGCTTTATTATTGCGTCCTTTTATGACGAGGATTGGAAAGAGGAGGTAAAGAAATCAGACGCCAGCAGAAAGACTTATCACGATTTGTCGCAGACAAAAGCAACCGATTCCACACAGGAGGAAGGAGAAGTGCTTCATGACTGCTATCAAGCTCTAAATTTTATTCTTATGGCTAAAAAATCAAAACAAACCTTAAATCAGCTTAGATTGTATTTGTTTTGTGTCATTTTAGGATGTAAAACTCAGTTTTTCAAGGATTCAAGAATTCAAGGATTAAAGGTTCTGTATTTGTCGTTCACACCACATGTGGTACATGAGGTGAAACGAGATTATGTACACAGGGTCCCCATTACATCCAACAAAAGCATAAAATGTACAAGAAAAACAGTAATAAGATCTAAGAAATGAACTAAGAAAAACATTAATAAAAATAATAAGCACCAGTTGCATAAAAAGCAATACGCCGAACAGCAGCACGAACATGAGTCTGTGTGAGCAGATGAGTACGAATGAACACACAAGCATGAAATACATCACCATCACCATGTAAATCACCATCATGATGTGATTCTTCACAGTAATTATTCTGGTTAGATTCATGAGTCTAACAGCCTCAGGGTAGAAGCTGTTCCTCAGTCTAGTGGTTCTACACTCAATGCTCCTTAACATCTTTCCTGAGGGGAGCAGGGCAAAAAGTGTGTGTGCTGGGTGAGTGGGGTCCTTCGTGATGCAGGTGGCACTCTTCCTGCATCTGGAAGTGTAGATGTCTGGAGGCTGACTCCAACAAATGCATTTTACAAATGAGAGAAAAATATTTAAGCTTACTTTCAAATAATGTGCAAATTGTGCATTTGTTCTTTGAAAAAAAATCATTCTTTTATTTTGGTGGTTGAGTTTAGGAGCAGTCTCACTGAAAACTGTGTTTTGTGACCACGTGACCATCCAATATTGATTTTCTAAAAATCATATCCTGTGTGTGCACACCTTGCAAAACTGTATTATTGGTTGTACACATTAAAGAGTAATTATTACAAGATAAACTGTAATATCAGTATTTAACATATTGTATAACGTATAATACGCATACAACGTATTGTTTTTATGCTACTAGTGCTTAGTGTATTATTAGTTAGTTTTACTTAGTTCATATCTTAGATTTTATTACTGTTTTTCTTTTACATGTTAATACTTTTGTTGGATGCAACTGGGACACTGTGTACACAATTTAACCTTGAATCCTTGAACCCTTAACTACCTCCCAGTTCATGTGTAGAAAAGGGGACAAACTACATGATTAAATTGTTGTACACTGTCTGTGTAAAAAAACAAACAAACTGGGATTCAGCACTAAAACCTACATAAACCATAAATGATATATGTTGATTCCTTAAACAAGTTTCAATTTCCTTGATAGTGTTTTAAAGCCTTCCTGGAATTATCTCTGCTGCCAAACAAACGTGGATTAGTTTGTGATGAAATATCGATTTAATCTTGGTTTCTGCGAGGGATTTGGACCTGACCCGTTTAATCTTGGGAAATTACTACAGCCAAGAGCGAGATTAGACAGTAAAGCTAATTTCTGCAAATGTGTCCATGAGGTGCAACCATAAAGCCACACGTGGGATGCGATGATGCTCAGGTCCTCTCACCGACAAATCAAGCCTGGATGGAAATGAAGCAGCAGATCTGATGTTTGCTCTTTGGAGCTAAAACTTTCCATGTGGTTAATTATGGCCCTGTACCAAAAATATACAGGTATGGATGATAATGATTTTGCACATGTCTGTTTATTTATATGTCGGTTAGGAAAATATCTCTTGAATTACTGAATTTTAATTCAACTCTCAGAAAGTGATCAGTGGCTTCACCTCTTCAACTGATTAGACTCTACTCGATTCAGGATGACCACTACAGTTAACATTAGCAAATCCAACAATAGCTATATCTGTGTCATTTTTATACATATTGAGCTAAATTTTGGTGTGGTGGTAGCTGAGAGTTGTCTCTAACCCATACTCTTCATGTTTTAAAACTCTCCTAAAAATGCATTTTTAATTGTTGGCTTTGGGTAAAGTCCGAGACTTGATCTTGTTTATTTTACTTGTGCTTTCTTGTTCTTGTGTTCATCCATCCACCCATTATCTTTAGCTGTTTCTTCCTTTTCGGGTCGCGGGGGTTGCCGGTGCACATGTCCAGCCATCACTGTACAAGAGGTGGGGAACATCCTGGACAGGTCTCCAGTTCTTCACAGGGACACATAGAGACAAACGAGACAAACAATCATTCATTCTCTCTCTCACATCTAGGGACAATTTAGTCAGTTTAACATGCATGTTTTTGGTCTGTTGGAGGAAACTGGAGTACCCAGAGAAAACACACGCATGCATGGAGAGAACATGCAAACTCCACCCAGAAAGGCCCCGGGCTGGGATTTGAACTAGGGCAACCTGCTTTCTGAGATGCAGCAGCTCTACCAACTGTGCCACGGTGCTGCCCCACTGTGTTCATTTCCTTTTTTTTTTTTTGTTTGTTTTAATGTCATGGTTTTACATGTACAACACATTGCTGCAGCAGTGGTTGTTTTAAAATGATTTATAAATGAAGTACAAGTAAAACAAAGTTTGCAGCTTGCATGATATTGTGTGAGCTCATGTGTACCACTGCTTTAAATATTTAACCAAAGTGGCTACACCTTTATAATGTCCTAACATAAAATGAGCTAGTTTAAATCTCATAAATGATGATATACATGTCTTTAAAAATGCTAGGTATTTTTTGTTCTTTTGAATTGTCGATAAACGTGAGTTTTTGCCAACATCTGTTCCTCGTTTCAGACTTTTTGTGCTCTGCATGTGCCTGCAGGACAGCTGGGAAATAGTGGACAGTCTGCGTGGGGGCCCCAGCAACGTCCTGGAGCCCCAGAAACAGGAAGGCTTCATGCTGAAGAGGAGGAAGTGGCCCATGAAGGGTTGGCACAAGGTATGACAAAACCTGTAAATGACTTGTGTGACTTTAAAGCCCTCTCAAAGTGATTATTGTCCTACACATGACACTCGAAGGTCAACCCAGTTTTCCATCTTTCCGGCACAATTTTCACTCAGCTTTCACAAACCTGCTGACACAGCTCATGCGGGCTTCGAACAAATTGAACGAGCTCCTGCAGCCGATGATTTCGCCCGCAGGCGAGTCACATGTGGCCCGGATCAGCGCTTGTTTACGCTCCGTCTGAAAGCTTTTCCTGGGAAGATAATGCTTCGGATATCTCGGCGTTCCACTCACATGCATTAGTTGATGGCCTGTCATTCACTATACATTTAGTATTGACTTCTTAGTGAGATCTCTGAGCTTTCACCAGCCTGGTGCTCCTGATGTACAGTAACAGCCTCAAGAATTACATCTTTGTAATGGAGCGGAGGAGAAAGATTGCATCTGAGTGAGAGGAGGAGTAATGAAAGGAGACGGAGACAGGAGATGAGAAATATCTCACCAAGGATAAATTAATTACAAACATTGTCGGGAGTTTTTTTTTTTTTCTGTCAAGATCGCAGAGTTATGACAATCTGCTGTCGGGAATGTTGCATATCATATACTCTCTTTCTCCCCTCCCCACAGAGATACTTTGTCCTCGATAAGGGCGTCCTCAAATATGGCAAGTGCAGCGCTGATGTGAGTACACAAGGACATGTCTGTAAGATAACAACGAAGAATTGTGTAATTTTCTACTTATGCTGCTCAACATCTGTTCCAGTAGATATCATAAAAAGCTATTTTCTCTCATTCTTTCTTATTAATAGAAATCGCACAACATTTTACCTGTCAGTCTCACGTTTCTGATGTTTTAGCTAAGCTCTGGTGTGTCAGAGGCAACAAAAGGATTATTTCTTCATTTTTAGGCTGAACAGCACCGTGTGTCACGAGGCTAGTCTAATAGGATTATAACATTTTGTGTTGATGCTGCCTATCAGATTGAGAAAGGGAAGCTGCACGGCTGCATCGACGTGGGTCTCTCAGTCATGGCCATCAAGAAGAAAGCCAAGTGTATTGATCTTGACGCCGAGGAAAACATTTATCACCTGAAGGTACATCGCAAAACTGATAAAGAGAAAACACTGAGTGTGAGGGTACTTTCAACATTTGACCAATTGGACATTTCTCAACTTGAGATGATGCTAGCCTAAAACTCAGGGGGTGATATGCATTGCTTCAAACGGGCTTTAATTTTACACGTGCATCATTTGTGTGAGGCACTTTGTTTTTGTAAATGTTTGTTCCCACCTTCTATGTCTCACCTGCCCTTGTGCTCATCTGGTCACAGATAAAGTCACCGGAGCTGTTTGAGGAGTGGGTGTCAAAGCTGCGCCACCATCGGGTCTATCGGCAAAACGAGATCATCACTTGTCCCAATGAGAAGTCCTTCTTTCACCCCCTCTATCCCTCCCCCATCTCCCCCAGCATAGCTGAGGGTGCACCTATCAGAAGGGTAAAACTGCAACTCCATTGTGGTCTCTGTAAAGCCTCTGTTGAACCTCCTGTCTCGTTAACGTTTCATTTACGAGCTGAAAACGTTACGGTGGAGGCTGCTTGTTTTTTTGAGCTGAGCGTTGAATCTGTTTGCTCCTGCAGTGCGTGTCCGTTCGAAGGCAGTCCTCGGTGCATCCTGCAGGAGCGTTCCCAGTGAGCTCCACCAGCCAGGCCAAGGTGGCTGCCTGGCTCCAGTCTTCTGACGACATGGACAAATGCTCCAAAGGTGACACAGAAGCCTTCTCTCATTTTTCTGAGTTTGTTTATTGGATGATTTTTTTTTTTTTTTTAGGCATTTTATTTGGCAAAACATGAAGGTGAAACTAACATTCTTTGAGGGAATGCATATCTCCTGCAGCTTTGCAATGACCATTTTTAAACACTGATTTTGCACGGTGTGTCAGTGTTTAGGATAACGGTGTTGAGGGTGACACTCATTTAAAATGTTAGCTCAGTAAAACTGACTGAGATATAGTCATTTTATATTGGCTACGAGGTGTTAGCTTTATGGCTACTTATTGAATGTTTTATCAAATCTATCCAGTGGTTTATGAGATATTTTGCTAACAGACGGGCAACTAAAAATAGATGCAAGCACTTACGACTGGCTGTTTTTCATGGCATTTGGCACTGTGGAAAAAACACACTTTAAACCAAAGGTAGTCCAATCATTTCCATATGTGGGCCAAACCTTTTAAGATGAAAAGAGTCACGAGCCACAAAAATGTGAATAAAAAATAGATATTAAAAAAAAAAAAAGTACGTATTTTTAGTGATTTTTTTTAACTCAACATAAACACAACACAATGCAAAAACATAAACAATATTTTGGAGAAAGGACAAAATTTGGAGGTGCTCTAAATTGTTGTAATCCAAAAACATTAAAAGCTTCATAAACATGAACCTTTTATTAATTTATCTTTTATTTAATGTATTTGACTTTATTGATTTATTGCCAAAGGATTGTATTAAACTTAATACAGTACTGCTCATTTTGAGATTTTTTTTTTTTATTATTATTTTGCTGTTAAACCTACAAATTATATAAAAAAATATCACCATTAAATTTGCAAAAGGTCTACATGTGTCAGTCTCTGAAGCCTACGGGCCAAAATTACAGCGTTCTCAAACTGCAAATGTGGGCCACACAAAATCACTCCAAGGGCCACAAATGGCCCCTGGGCTGCATTTTGGACACCCCTGCTTTAAACCTTCAGTTGTATGACTGAAATGTGAAAATGCACATTGTTGTGGAACCAATTCTGCATTTACTTTCCAAGCTCTGTTGCCATATGTTGACCGGTGGGTTTCTTCTAATCTGTATTCTTCCTCGTTGTGAGTGCGGCTCGTGGTTGTTTACCCTCACTTGACACACAGTGACATGTCTTTTGCTGCTCAAAGCCTCTCGGCACCATACAGAGTATGCTAGCAGCATGACTGCTTATGAAATGAAGGAGCAGGCCCTTCAGCTCCACGGTCAACATTTTACGCCCAACCATTTCTCAACAAACATATGCGACTTTTAAACTGATGCTTTCAAGCATTTAGAACTGAATTGTCTGAAATTTGATCAGCAAATAACTCTACATCAGATAAATGAAATTTTATTGAAGCTTGTAGGTAAGTTGGAGCACAAATTATTTTATTATGATTGCTATAAAAATCAAATTAATAAAGATAAATCTATGTAAACAATGTAAATTGTTTATGATAAGGTAAAAGTTTTTGGTAGTAATGAAATAGCCAATAAACGTCTAACCCTAAGAAGCTTTTTTCTTGTTTTGTTTTGTGCTTTATTTTCTTCTAATGCATTCGTTGTCTTTAGCACTTCCAGTAATTCCGTCTGTTTGTCTGTGTTAGATAAAACTGGCGGTGTGATGAAACAGAGGAAGCTGGTGATTACTGATGCAGAGTTAGTCTCAGTTTTCAGTCATTAGGATTCTGTTGATGAGCTGTCAGAGGCTCGTCTGGCTGCTCAATGAGAAAGCGCGACGATCCAAACCATAAACTTTTGGGCCACTTAATTTTAGACAAAACTCAGGCACAGATTTCTAAACAGAACACTGATAATTATTAGAAAGAGATTGGCATTAATGTAGCTAACCATCACATCTTACTTCTTCTACACCTGAAATCAGTCCAAATATTTGTTTATGACGTCTCTGAAAGTTTTTATTGATCCTCCGTCGCAGAGTGAAAGGGGGATTTAGAAATACTATCCATCCATATGTAACTACGTACTTCTGTACATGCATGTTGTGAGTGCAACAACTTGACAAACAAGTGAGGTATCGACTTCCATTTGGTGTGTGGATACATCTAGATCAGGATTATTCAACTGGCGGCCCGGGGACCAAATCAGGCCCATGGGTGAGCTCAGTTCGTCCCACAAATGGGTTTATGAAATAAAACTAGATTTTAAATTGTAAAACTGCCTTACTTAATGAGAATATCTATGTTCGGACCCTGAGCTCTTGGCTTTTGATAACTGTGGCCCCCTGAGAAATTTTGTTAAATAGCTCTGAGGAAACTATGTTTTCTGGTTTTTATAATGCTTGAAAGTATTTTTCTTCAAAATAATTGGGTGAAAAATAAGCAACATGCTAACTTCCACTTTAGTGTGTGGCTGAATCTATGAGTAAGGAAGGTTCCTAAGTTCCCAAGTCAAAATCCAAAATGCTGCTCCCTTCCTCAGGGGTCACCACCGCAAACTCACTCGCACGAAGACTTGGCATTTGTTTTTACACCAAATTCCCTTCCTGACACAACCACAGACCGCTGAGCTACCACAGCCCTCTGTGTGGAGCAGAGAGCCATCTAGGATGCCTTGGGGGGGGGGGGGGGGGGGGTTGTGCAGATAGTGGGGGTTAAGGGCCTTGCTCAAAGGCCCAGAGTGGGGCAAATGAGGGTGCATTCACACCAGTCCTGTTTAGTCCACTTTAATCGAACTCTAGTCCGTTTGCCTAGAAAGTTCGGTTCGTTTGGGGAGGTGTGAATGCACAATCGAACTCTGATATGGACCAAAAAAGTGAACTCTGGTCTGCCTACAAACCTAGGTCTCAGTTTGGTTGAAGTGAACTCTGGTGCAGTTTGAATGCAGTGTGAATGCAAGCAGACCGGGGACCACTCCAAAAACAGGAAGTGGACTACAGCGCAGGGCAAACAAATGCGCACTTCTCTTACTTCATACAAAGCCGTCAGCCGCCTTGTGCGAAAAACAACATTCTCCATGGTCTTCTGCCTCATCTTCCTCTCACGCTGAGTCCATTGTTGAAAAATGACAAAACAGAAATCCTAAAACTGCTAAAATTTGACACCACTCCGTTTTTGTTTTTATTTCCAGAAAAAGAAGAAGAAGTGGCTTCTTCTGAGGTTTTTGTGTTTTTTCCTTCAGTAGTTCTTGGTGCAACGCCATCACAGGCAGGGGCAGGTTGGCTCGACTGACAGTGCAGTGTGAATGTGAACCGCACCAGCTGAAATGTAAACAAATGTTCTGAATATTGGTCCCCAACCAAACCGAGTCTACCGGACTATCAGGTGTGAA